ATTCAAACAAAGCACACAAGTAAGAGCTTGTGAGAGCAGCAGAACACTGACAGCAGAGGCCCTTCTGGCCTTCCAACTTTTGAATATAAATTAGAAGAGCCTCAGAGGGGATATCACAGCAGGACATGAAATGCTGTCTCCCCTGGTGGAAATGCAGGCTCCTTGGGCTCACAAACTGTTCCCTTTTTTCCTTCCTATCCCTAGCACCTACCTGGCACTTTTAAATGCTTGATGACTGATTGATATAAAAAGTAAAGATGGGCCTTTAATTTTAGGAAAGGTTAGAGACGTGAAAGGAGTTTTGTAATTTCTTAAAGGCAACCTGGCCCATCCTCTACCTGATCAATTCTGGCCTAATTCATCCATTTACACTGTTTTTCCAAGATATATTTGTTGATGTTGTTCAGTCATTTCAGTCATATCAGACTCTTTGTGACCCAATTTCAGGTTTTCTTGGCAAAGACACTGGAGTGGTTAAACAGAGTTAAGTGACTTTGCTCATGGTCACACAGCTAGTAAGTATCTGAGGGCAGATTTGAACTCAAGTCTTCCTGTAAGAAGAGCTGGAGAAGGAAATGGCAAACCACTCCACTATCTTTACCAAGAAAACCTAAAATGGGATCATGAAAAGTCAGACATGACTGAAACAACTGAACACCAATAACTTCCTGACTCCAGGCCTAGTGCTCTACCCACTGCTTCCCCTAGCTGCCCTGCCAAGACATACATACATATGACATGTATACATATATCCATTTGGATATATGTGTATACACCCATATACACGGTCGTGTGTTTACATACATGTGGGTGTGTGTATACACATGTACATACATCTGTGTGTACATACATACATGCATGCATACATATGCATACATACATACATATATATACATATATATATATATACATATACACACATATGTATCTGAATGAGTTCTACATGAATTTTGTAATCTGGGAAACAGATACTCTTCTTTAACTTGGTCTTTCCTGAGCATATAGTCAGACCAAATTATACTCAGAGGGTAGGGATTCCTCCAAGAGTTCTGGAGTGCTTTGCTTGATACTAAGAGTAAGATGCTGTCCAAAATGAGAACAACTGGAGAAAACCATCCACGAGGCACTCCCCTTCACCTCTAACTCTGCACTGGATCTTCTCCATGGTAGTGGTGAACACCTATGCCTTGGCTTGTGCCTTGTCTGCTGTTTATGGTTAGGGAATACTTGAGGTAAGTTACCTTTGTTGTTAATAGCTTTCAAGAATCCTTAATTAATTCTGATGTATAGATGGGAAACACTTTATTGGAAAAGAGTCCTTTATTTGGAAAAAGAGCAATTGTTCTACTGAATCAAATATTTTTTTATTGGTGCCTTGTGTTTTTATATCACATTTACTTCTGAATATGCTCCTTCCTCACTCCTACTCAATGTGTCATGGTTATTTTCATGTTGATTATCCCATCAGAAGCACTGTATTATAAGATGACCAAATGTCCCCTTAAAATTATGCTTTTTGTATTCTTTGGATGCACAATAAAACCAATTCTACCAGTTCCTTTATTTGTGTCTTCAAAGAAAACTTCTGAGCCATCCCTCCAAGTAGCTGTAATTCCTTTTGTGTTCTGATTTAGCAAAAAGCAAGAATATCAACACTTCTACAGTATAGTTCCTCTAGTTGGCTATTTATTCCCTGAGCGTAGGACAAGGAACGCTCCTGATCATTTTGTAATCTTAAGCTATTTTTCACGTTCTACCACTCTTGCAAAAGTTGTAAATTAACTCTTTTCAAAAGACATAGAAATACTACAAAAAAATTTGCAACAGCCTAAAAAGTATCAACACTATCAAGGGGGAAAAATACTCTAATGAAAATTGTAATAAATCACAAGAGAACTAACAAGCAAAAAATGTGAAGACAACACATAATTTAAATTAAGTATACACTTGTCATTACCATCATAACTGTATTTGATAAAAATGCAATTTGGAAAACACGTTCACATTCTTCTTGGCAAGCCCTAAAATCCAAAATTACAGCTATCTAAATTGATTCATTGTGTTGTTACGTATTATGTTATATTATGTATTATGTATTTTAAGAAATTAAAACTAAGTGGAAACAATTAAAGTACTTCTTTAAAGAAAGTGCCAAACTGGTGAATCTCAAACACACACACTCCAACTCCTTCAAATTCAGAGACTGAGGTGATTGAGAGCGAGAACGCCCTTGAGGTATTGTGGGAAATATTTACATTACTTTACTCTTCCCAAATCTTTGAAGTAAAAGTCTTTTTTACAAAAACTAATTTATATTAGGTGGTTAAATGGAATTGAGGGGCTAGTCACTAACACCAAAGAATGAGGGTACTCAGTTCTTGAGGGTTCACGCCGATAGCAGAAAAGAAAACGCCCAAACCCCTTAGGGTACCCTAGGACCCTGGGTAGCACATGTAACACCCTGAAGGTGAGAAAGCCAGAGTATGCTTGTTACATATTTACCAGACATAAAGTAAATACAGCTGATTCTAAAAGAAGAAAGAACCATGCTACACAAGATTTTTAATATATATTAACACAAAAGAATTTTAATATTAAGAGCTCTCACTCAAGGTTCCTACCCTAAACCCAACAAATGCCATACACCTATGGCAGTCGATATCATTAAACCCACAGGCTTATGACTGAGGGCTCAGTTAGGTGGCAATACAACACTGGGACTAGAGTCAGAAGACCCGAGTTCAAATCTAGCCTGGTACTTGCTAGCTGGTATGACCCTGGGCAAGTTCTTTAAACCTCTATCTGCTTCAGTTTCCCAGGACGATAACAGCACTTGCCCTACAGGTTGTTGTGAGGATCAAATGAGTTATCTATGCAGAGTTTAAAAATGCCCAATACATGATAGACACTCAATAAACAGACACTCCCTTTCCCCTTCTTTTCCCCTCCCATTCCCCATGGCAGTGACTCTGCCTGAATACCCCCTCCAAAACATGCAAGAAGTGGGAGGCTCTAACTAGGGCCAGTCACATGAAGTAAAAGAGGAAAAGGATCAGTGGAATAAGGTTGGGCTAAAAATATGGAACCAGCTGTGGGCTCAGAACCACAGACTAGAGGGGCCAACACACTGGTCCTGACAGAAACAGTAAACCCAGTTAAAGTGGTCTTCCCCTCTCTCCCCTCCCCTGCCCTTCTCAGGGCTTGATCTGGCTTGATGTAACTTGAGACAAGGAAGATGATGCCACCTTGCCTTGTTTCAAGGGTGGTGCCACCCTTGAAAGTCTGGGCCTTGCAAGTCACTCCTCATGGCTGTGCTTCACATGAGCTTGGCTGCCAACGTACCTGATAAGGATTCCACCCTGGAATTTCACAGGGCTCATACCAAGGGAAAGAACAGGAGGCACACTGGCATGCCTTGAACCCACATGCTCAAGGGCTGACCTGGTGAGGGTCAGGTAGGGGGTGATGGCACCTCGCCTTACCTCCGCTATTCCTCCAAAGCTCAGACAGTTGTCCTTCTGCCTTAAGCCAGCAGGAAGGAGAGAGAGATTGAGTTTCTTCTTTGAGCCTGTTCCAGCTCAGCAGCACCACCCCACCCCCCAAAAAAAGCACCTCCTTACTAAGTGAAGAGGAAACAGCCACAGAACAAGTGTGAATGTTGTGAAGCAGAGAGCAGGGCTCCTCCATTCCACAGCACTGACACAGACTTAGCCAGCTTCCAGGTCAGCACCAAGTGAACTCCTGCAGACCACGCTCTCCCTGGCCGAGCCTTATGGGAAAAGGCTGCTCATAAGGAATGCATCATTTGTTCAGTTGGTTGGGGCTTCCTCGCCTCCACTGGTCATGGCAATGCACCTTCCGAGTGTAGGTGAGGTCTGCTCCTTTTGGCGTCTGTGTGCAGGCCGCTGGAAAGCTCTACCAAAGACCCTAAGGCAATTTCATATCAAGAATTGGTTCAAACCTTTTTATGGAAAAATGAGTCTACTCTCGCCCAGGGTCACACAGCTGGTAAGGCAGGATTCAAACTCAGATCTTCCTGATTCTGAGCAGAGTGCTTTACCCACTGTGCCAGCTTGCTGATCCTCTCTTTACATGTGCAGAATCACTGTCAACTGTTCCCACTATCACCGACCACCCAGATGTCCGCCACTCAGTCCTTCCAAGGTGCAGGGTGTGGGGAGGTCTGAGATTACCACTTTTTATTCACTTCTGGTCAGCCATTCTGGTGGTGCACTCCTTCAGGGGATGATCACATTGCTTCTTCTGGGTTGTGTTTTCGGTTTGTTTTTGCCTCTCTTTCTCGCTTCTTCCTTTACCCAAAATAAGCTTTTCTATCAACATTGCTATGCCAGGCTTCTTGCATCCTTGAGGTCAGAGCTGTCCAGCAACGGCCCTCAAGCCATAGATGATCCTCGAGAGAATTCTTAGGACCTTTCCTACCACAGGGAAGACTATGGTAAGAGCAATATGTGCTAATTTATCCTAAGATCCTATTAAAGAGAATGTGCTAGTTTTTGTTTATTTTTTCCCCAAAAAGGCAGGGAAGTTATCTGTAAGACTTGACTGTTTCAACAAGGACTGAAATTTGAACTTCCTGAGTTCAAATCTAGCCTCAGACACTTACTAGATGTTTGACCCTGGGTAAGGCATTTAACTCTGTCTGCGTCAGTTTCCTCATCTGTAAAATGAGCCGGAGAAGGAAATCACAAACCACTCCAGTAGCTTTGCCAAGGTACTACCAAATGGGGTCACGAAGAGTTTGCCACAACTGAAAAATGACTGAACAACAAAAAGACTATAAATGTATCAATTTATTCCAGTTTGAAGCCTGAACCACCAGACAAGCCTGACCTATTTGATTTATAATCATATTTCTAAAGCATCTTTTCTATGCCCCAAGTACTCTTAAAATTATATGTTACTAAAATAACAACTTAATACACTGATGGATTCCAAAACACTGTTTTGCCTTCTTTTAAACAACAGTAGGCTCAGATTACCTGATAATCAGCTGGCCCAGGAATTGCATAGTTGTCTTCTTTAACAGAATGGAATGTTCGAGGAACAGAAGATCCAAATGCACTTTTCGTTGTTCTCTGCATATAATGATCTTTTAAATAGTCAAATGAAGTACTCTTCTTAAAAATATCATAACACCCAGGACCTAAAAAGACATTACAAACATTTAAGTCATAACATATTTCAATTGCTATTTTAGAAATGAATACTGATGTGAAAAATATATTAGGGAGAAAGTCTGAAGATATGCTTAAATAAATGATAAGCTAAAATTATTCAATTAGAAATACTGCATAACTTCCAAACACACACAGCTGCACCTGCCTTGTCAGTTACAGCAATCATTTCTGTATGTAATTATCAGTCAGTCAGAAATCAACTGTTTTTGTGCTATTTCCTTGTAGTCCTGGAATATATATTTCAGAAGTCCCCTCTGCCCGCAGGGATTCTTCCTTCTGATCAGACAGTTCCCTCCAGAACTCCCCCTTTGAGGAGGGCACCCAGCCAGTCTCCTTTAGGTTTCTCCCCATGGCCACGTAACCATGGCATAGCTTTTTATTTGTCAAATAACAATGATGTTTTCTTTTGTACCCTGTTCCACATTATGAAGAATTGGTTTTACTTAGGAAACTTGCTCAATTTAAAAGCTGCAATGCTATATTATTAAGGAAAATAGGGTTAAAAGGCCTTCATGATACGTCACACCATTTATTTTTGAGCCATGAGGCTCACTCACGTTAGGAAAATAAGCATATGGTTCTTTATGTCATTCCTAAAACAAATCAGGAATGGTCCAGTGACATTTAAATAATGTTGTAAAATAGTAATTCATAATTACATAACATTTTATAGTTTACAAAGTGTTTTATGTACATTTTCTCATTTGAACCTTACAACAACCCTGTGAGTTAGGTAATGCAGGTACCTAAGTCATTTATAAACTAAGAGACTGAGGATCAGAGAGGCTAAGTAATTTTCCAAAGATCATAAGGCTAAAAGATGGCAGCTATAATTTGGACTTGGGTCTTGACCCAAATACAATGTTTATTCCATTTTATCACACGGCCTCTTTTCATGCCTTCTTTTCCTTATGTTCTGGGTTAAGAATACATCCTTTGTATGACAGGCCAGGTCTGAACTAGGCAGTTCTAAGGATTCAGGCTGAAGAGTTAAAATGGTACTTGTGGAGTATAAAATACAATAAAAATCTAATCACAAGAAATCAAAAGGATACAACTTTTAGTTCAAAAGGATATAAAATTCTACTTCCCTCTGCCTCCTCTAGCAGGTGAAAGATAAAATGACTGAGAACATAAAGTTTCAAGCTTCTGAGCATATTGATGTATTAAGCAATGCATGCCAATTGCATAACAAATTGAAACCAGACCTCCTCAGCTTAGGGCTGGACCCCCAAATACAAGGGGAGACAAATTTTTATACATTAAAATGATTACTCAAATAAGACCTCTTAGTTAAAAGAAAAGAATTAACCAGGATACAAAATTAGGTAATCTGATTTCTAACTGGATGAAAGATTAGGGACTTTAAAAGTTTGGAGGGGGAGAGCAAACAGGTACAATTCCCTGAAATCAGAAAAGAGGGGTTCCATGATCCACAAGTGTCTGTACTCAATCGAAGGAACATAGAAACAATAACTGATTGATCAGTATGGGACCAGTTTTCAGATAAGAAATATGGGTTGCTTGAGATGTGTAATTATAAGAGAACTCATCAGTCTTTGGATCTGACCAGGTTTCTGGTCAGCATAACCTTAGTGAAGTGTAGGTAGCAGCAGGCAGAAATGGTCCAGCAATGCAATGAGGTTTTCTTCCAATTGCCACAACTGAATAAAGTTTTCACCAAGACAGGAACTGCACTAGAATCATAATAGAGTAGAAAGGGAACTGAGCTAGCTCCAGAACTGAGTCACAAGATGGAGCCCGTGTGGTTCACTTGACCGCCACTACCACTCCCTGTTCTAATCCCCTCAATTCCTTCAATCCAGCCACCACAGCAATCACTCCTTCCAGGTCAGGAACGCGGGAAAGTGTTCTCCAGTGGGAGCTCAGGTATAATCACAAATGCAATCCATCCTCCGATCCCCCCCAACCCTGCCCTTATACGTCAGGCAGCAAAGAAGCCAAATGACCCCTGTGCCCTGAAAGGAGCAGCTCAGTCTACCCGCTGCTGACATCATGACCCAGTTCAGAATAAAGTGAACATAATCAGGAAAACAATTTATACAATCAACCCAACACAGTAAAGGAAAATAACTGTGAAAGACTGCACAATGCAATGACCAATCATGAATTAAGAATGATGAAGAGTATTTTTCCCATTGGCAGAGAGATGACTCCAGATGCAGAATGAAACACACATTTTCAGACACAGCCAGTGCGAGGATTTGTTTCGCATGATTAGATTTGTTACAAGGAAGAGGCTGAGGGCAGGGCAATAACGAAGGAGGTAAGAGTGCTCACAATGCTAAGAAAATTAAAGAAAGGAATGAAATCAATGAAGTATTTAAAAATTCCACGGAAGAGAGCAGAAGGAAGTTCAGAATGCAACAAAGACAAGCAGGATAGTGTTGGAGCTATCAAGTTAAACTGAAAATACACTATATACAGGGGAAAGTTGTATGTAATGAAGATTCATAGTTCCAGATGTCTAGTTTTCTATTCTTTGTATAGAGAAATACTGGTGTTGATTTTGGAAAGCTGTCTGTATTTGTTGACTAACCTGTTCTCACACAGTCCTCAACCCTCTGCAGTGTGGCTTCCCCGTCCGCTGCTGACCCTTCCGTCCTCTAGAACACTCTTTTCTGGGTTTCTGTAATACTGCCTTCTCCTGGTTCTCTTCCTGTCTGATCACTCCTCAAGCTCCTCTGCTGGCTTATCATCCATATCATGCCCCCACAGTTTTGTTCCAGGTCCTCTTTTCTCATTCCTCTACACACTTGGTAACTTTGTCAGATCTCATGGTTTTATGCCGATGACTCACACATATGTGATTCATGTGTAGCTGGCTCATACATGTGTATATAGAAACACATATATCTACTAAAGTTGATGCATTTACATGTATCAAGTACACATGCACATACATATATCTCTCCCAGGCTCGCCTCTGAGTTTCAGTCACATATTAACATCTGCCTATTGCACATCTTAAATGATATATCCGAGAGACATCTCAAACTCAACATGTCCACAACTGAATTTGTTTTCCCCCAAATCCATCCCTCTCACCAATTTCCCTCTCTATGTTGAAGGTACCACCATTCTTCCAGTATCCCAGGTTCATAATCTTCGCATTATAATAAATTCTTGATGTTCCCTAGAGTTTTGTCCCAGACCCTCTTCTCTTCTTCCTTTATGCACGAGCTCCATGAATTTAACTACCATCTCTAGGCAGTTCTATATATCCAGCATCAGTCTCAATACTGAACTTTAGTCCCACATCACTAACTACTTATGGGAGCATTTCAAAACAAAATGGATGTTCTAGAAGCTTGTTCAAGTCAACATATTTAATACTTAACTCGTCTTTCCCCTTAAATCACCCCCTTTTCCAAGCTTCCCTATTTCTGCCCAAAGTTCCACCATTCTCCCAGTGCCTCCAGGTTGTGACCTAGCAGTTATTCTGGACCCCTTGCCCCACCTACATAATCAGTTACTAAATCTTTCAGGCTGTTTCTACCTCCTTAACATACTTCACATCTAACTCCTCTCCACTCACATAGCTACCCCCTTAGTTCAAGCCTTCATCAGCTTTCATCAGACTTTAACAACAGCTTCCTAAATCGGTCTCCCTCCTTCAAGTCTTTCACTACATCAGGACCTTCACAATTCTGCCACAGCAATTTTCTTTACATGTAGATTTGACCATTTGCCTCACCTACTCAACCAACTGCATCGAGGATAATATATAAGTTTCTCTGCTTTGTTTTCAAAGTCCTTCATGACCAGCCCCAATCTATCTCTCTAGCTTCACTCCATGCTGTTTCCCATCCCACTCACTGAGATCTAACCAAACTGTCACACACATGACACTCTATCCACCATCTCCTTCCCTTTGCGGTTCCCCATGCCTGGAGTTTATTTCCTCCTTACCTCCGTTGTTGACCATTTCTCTCTTTCTTGAAGATGGAGCTCAAGCACCATCTTCTGCATGAAGTTTTTCCTGATCCTCCCCCTGCTACCTCAACTACTAGTATCCTCTCTGTCAAACTACCTTATATTTAGCTACTTGTATATATTTGTATTTATTAGATTTATATTTAAGGTGTATATATTTTCTATATCCTCATTTTCTCCCCCATTAGAACTTAGGCTTCTTGCAGAGCCCCCAGTGCCTAGCACTGTACCTGACTTGGAATGACTTAAGATTGTCAAATTCATACTTATAAAATATTTTTCACGGTAAAGGAGAAGGGGGACAGGAATAACTATTTACATAGCTCCTACTATGTGCAAGCACTGTGCTAAGCACTTTCTTTTTTTTTTTTTTTTTTGCTTTTTGGTGAGGCAATTGGGAGTAACTTGTCCAGAGTCACACTGCTAGCAAGTGATATGTGTCTGAGTCCAGGTTTTGAACTCGGATCCTCCTGACTCCAAGGCTGGAGCTCTTTCTACTGCACCATTTAGCCGCCCCTTGTGTTAAGCACTTTTTAAAAATGATTTGGAGGAGCAGCTAGGTGGCACAGTGGATAAAGCACCTGCCCTGAAGTCAGGAGGACCTCAGTTCAAATCTGGCCTCAGACCAAACACTTGACACTTACTAGCTGTGTCACCCTGGGCAAGTCACTTAACCCCAATTGCCTAAAAACAAAAAAAAATGATTTGGACCATTGGTGAATATTACTTAGAAAAGTCTGCTTATTCTCTACTAATACCCTAGTCAAGGATGCCTTCAATTCTTACACCGATGACTTGTGGAAAGATTGTGTATAGGTAGAAGACCAGGCATATCAGTTGACAGTTAAAGTGTTTTATTGGTTGCCTTTTTGGTATTCATAAGATCCGAGGTTTTTTTCAATGTCTTTTATATCCTTCCACCCTACTCTGCATATCTCTTACATCCTCACAACTGTGTTTTCATCACTATGAATCCTCCATATACACTCCATCCAATCTGGTTGCCATC